CACAGCTCACAGCAACCTCTAACTCCTGGGCTCAAGGGAGTCTCCTGCCTCAGCCTCCCAAGTAGCTGGGACCACAGGCGCCCGCCACAGCACCCAGCTACTTTTTGGTTGCAGCCATTATTGTTGTTTTGGCAGGCCTGGGGCTAGATTTGAACCCACCACCTTAGGTGTATGTGGCTTAGCCACTTGAGCCACAGGCACCAAGCCAATTTGAAATATTTTCATCAAACTGGTTAACATAGCCTTCACAGAATTTTCTTAGTTATTGTGTTAAGAAATTTATATTGTACATTTAGTAAATTTCACATGTACCTTGTAAGATGCACCTTAGGTGTGGTCTTACAATTACCCTCCCTCCCTCACCAATTACTCTCCCTCCACCTGTCCTCCCCCCCCAAAAAAAACTTTTAAAGATGCTGCAGTGACAGGGTATTTTTTCAGCTAATTATGTACTGAAATTAAATTTTTACCTCAAAAGATAAATTTTTATCTCAAAGATAATGTTGTTGCTGAACATACCCACTTTTTCAGAGAGACAGGGAAAACAGCTATCAGTGGGGCTGGGTGTAGTGGCTCATGTTTGTAATTCTAGCACTCTGGGTGGCCAAAGCCAGTGGATTGCTTAAGCTCAGGAGTTTGAGACTAGCCTGAGCAAGAGTCTCTTAAAAAATAGCTGGGCATTGTGGCAGGTGCCTGTAGTCTCAGCTATTTGGGAGGCTGAGGCCAGAGGATCACTTGGGCCCAAGTGTTTGAGGTTGCTGTGAGCTACGATGCTACGGCACTTTACTCAGGGCATGAGACTCTGTCTCAAAAAAACAAAAACAAAAACAGAAATCTCAGCAATCAGGAGGAAATAGGGAATGCAACACGTGCATTGACTGAGTCCCACAGATATCTATCTACCAGGGAGGAGAATAGAGATACTGAGACAAAGAAAGAGATATTGAGATACTTGGAAAGATACTGATACACATACACACATGTGCACTTTTGCTTTAAGAAATTAAATTATTAAAAAATTAAATTATCATTTTTTTGTGTACATCTAGTTGAGAAATTTACAGTTTTGTAGTTTGTTAGAATTTGTCCTTTTCAAAAAGGGAGACCAAAAAGTAAGTAAAATAGATTGTATTCTTCAGATTAAAGAATGATTTATTAAGCACCCACCATAACCAGAGCTATAACTTACTAAATGAAGTTTTTTCTGGAATACTTTGTTTCAAAAATCACAGGAGGAAATACTGATGCTGACAAAGAAGTAATTAATTTGAGTCACTGCTTGCAATAATAGCATAGTAAAATGTGTATTTGTATGTTTTGTTTATAGCACATCTTCATTACCTCCATTAGACTGGCCTTTACCAACTCATTTTGGACAATGTGAACTGAAAATAGAAGTCCAACCTAAAACTCATCATCGAGCCCATTACGAAACTGAAGGTAGCCGAGGGGCAGTAAAAGCATCTACTGGGGGCCATCCTGTTGTGAAGGTATGAGACTGTTGGGGCTTGTTTTGCAGATACCATGCACCTATTAATAGTTAGACAGGTCTGTTTGGTTAGGTATTACAGAGCCCAAAAGAGAAAACTCAAAAGTAAAGGGTCTGTTGTTTTGTGTACTTGTTGATATGGCTGCACTTCTGCATTCTGTTTTCTTTGGTAGACTGAAAGATACTCTTTCTGGACTGACTCTCCAACTGGGAAAACTCAAAGGAAAGTTACAGTGGTTAGATAGGTGTTTGATTAAAAAAGAGAGAGATTGCTGGGCACAGTGGCTCATGCCTATAATCCTAGTCCTCTTGGAGGCCTGAAAGGGTGTATTGCTTGAGCTCAGGAATTCTAGACCAGCCTGAGCAAGATTGAATCCTGTCTCTACTAAAAATCTAAAAATTAGGTAGGCCTTGTGGCAGGTGCTGGTAGTCCCAGCTACTGGGGAGGCTCAGGCAAGAGGATTGCTCAGGCCTTAGAGTTTGAGGTTGCTATGAGCTATGACGCCAGGGCACTCTACCCAGGGGTCAGAGGGAGACTTTGTGTCCAAAAAAAAGAGAGAGAGAGATTACTGTATTATGGTTATGAATATATGTTCACTTTAAATTTAAGTAATACAGGGCTGGGTGCAGTGGCTACTACCTATAATCCCAGCACCCTGGAGCAGGCGTCCTCAAACTGTGGCCTGCAGGCCACATGCAGCCTGCCTAGGACATTTATCTGGCCCGCCGGGTGTTTTTGCTGCTGCTGCCTGTCCTACTTAGCAGCCAACTTGTCCCAGGGCCCACAGTCCGGCCTTCCAGTGGTCTGAGGGACAGAAAACTGGCCCCCTGTTTAAAAAGTTTGAGGACCCCTGCTCTGAAGTCTAAGGCAGGTGGATCACCAGAGCTCACGAGTTCAAGACGAGCCTGAGCTAGAGTGATACCCATCTCTAAAGAAATAGCTGGGCATTGTGGCAGGCTCCTGTAGTCCCAACTACTTGGGAAGCTGAGGCAAGAAAATCACTTGAGCCCAAGAATTTGAGGTTGCTGTGAGCTGTGAGGCCATGGCACTCTACCTAGGATAACAAAGTGAGACTTTGTCTAAAAAGAAAAAAAAAAGTCATACAGAAGAGTGGAAAGAGTAAAGCAGTACATTACCCAATCTAACCCCCTTAGAAATAAGCAGTATTAGTGTTTAACATTTCAGATAATTCTCTATGTATATATTTAGTGAAAGATTAGATAGACAAGTAGAAAAATGAAAAATTTTAAGGTTAGGATTAGGATAGGATACTGAACATTTTTGTAGTTAAAATATATAATTTTCAGCCAGGCGTGGTGGCTCATGCCTGTAATCCCAACACTTGGGAGGCTGAGGCAGATGGATTGCCAGAGCTCACGGGTTCGAGACAAGTCTGAGCCAGAGCTACATGCTGTCTCTAAAAGAATAGCTGGGCGTTCTGGCAGGCACCTATAGTCCTAGCTACTTGGGAGGCTGAGGCAAGAGGATCACTTGAACCCAAGAGTTAGAGGTTGCTGTGAGCTAAGACACTACTGCATTCTACCTAGGGTGACCAAGACAGACGCTGTCTTAAAAAAAAAAAAAAAAGTGTGTGTTTATGTATATATATGTGTGTGAATATATATGTATGTATATATGTAATTTTCATTTGAATTTATTAGAAGAAATTAAAATAAAAAAAAATTTTTTTTTGAGACAGAGCCTCAAGCTATCCCCCTAGGTAGAGTGCTGTGGCATCACAGCTCACAGCAACCTCCAACTCTAGGCGAGTCTCCTGCCTCAGCCTCCCAAGTAGCTGGGATCACAGGCACCCGCCACAACACCTGGCTATTTTTTGGTTGCAGCCGTCATTGCTGTTTGGCAGGCCAGGGCTGGATTCGAACCCTCCACCTTAGGTGTATGTGGCTGGCGCCTTAGCCAAAATAAAATTTTTTTTTAAAATTATATTTAATGTATATGAAATATATGTCACATATAAAATTTTGAATCACAACAATTGAATCTTAATTTTACTTGAATGGTACATACAAAAATGAAATTGTAAGTAAAAGTAAGAACTTGGCATGGCACCCATAACTCAGTGGTTAAGGTGCTGGCCACATACCCCGGAGCTGGTGGGTTTGAACCCGCCTGGGCTTGCTAAATAACAATGACAACAACAGCAGCAACAACAACAACAACAACAAAATAGCTCGGTATATGGCAGTCACCTGTAGTCCCAGCTACTTGGGAGGCTAAGGTAAGAGACTCGCTTAAGCCCAAGAGTCTGAGGTTGCTGTGAGCTGTGATGCCCAGCACTCTACCGAGGGCAACATAGTAAAACTCTGTTTCAAAAGAAAAAAAAACAAAAACACAAAACTAAGAACTGTTGAATCTTAGATATTGATCTTAACTTTAAGTGTTCCTAAAAGATCTGAGGCCAAAAATAGAGATTAAACAAATTATCAAGAGATTGATTTAACTCATTGTTTCAGATGTAGATGGTATGAATTGACTCTTTGCTCTGAAAAATAGGGTGTAGTTGTCTTTCTTAACTTCCTCCTTTTCTACTCTGCCTTTTGAGTTTTGTTGGATATGCTATTAACTTTAGAGTTACAGCTCACCCTCTATTTTCCAAATTGTTTAGTCTTAGTCCTGTATCCAGTTGGATTCAATGCTTACTATTAGTTCTTTTTGATTTATTTCATTGTTAAGCTTTTTGGGTTTTTGTTTAAGAAGGCCTTTGGATTCTACATTGAGATTTGAGAATGTCTGTTGCATTTTATATACTCAAACATCAGAATAGCTATATATAATAATCTTGAGTCACCTATTTCTCTCAGAACTGTGTAGTTTTTTTCTGTTGTCTTATGGCATTGAATACTAGAAAGCCTTTATTGTTTTGTGTGCTTGTTTATATGGCTGCCCTTCTGCACTGAGTAGAGAAACTACTTTTTTTTTTTTTTTTTGAAACAGAGCCTCAAGCTGTCCCCCTGAGTAGAGTGCTGTGACATCCCAGCTCACAGCAACCTCCAACTCCTGGGCTCAAGCGAGTCTCCTGCCTCAGCCTCCCAAGTAGCTGGGACCACAGGTGCCCCCCACAACACCTGGCTATTTTTTTGGTTGCAGCCGTCATTGTTTGGCAGGCCTGGGCTGGATTCAAACCCTCCACCTTAGGTGTATGTGGCTGGTGCCTTAGCTGTTTGAGCCATAGGGGCCGAGCCTTGAGGCATAGGCGCCAAGCTGAGAAACTACTTATACTGAAGTGATTTTCTTCATTTTCTTTTCTTTCCGTTTTTTGTTTGTTTGTTTATTTGACACAGAGTCTTATTCTGTTGGCCTGGGTATAGTGCCCTAGTGTCATAGCTCAAAGCAGTCTCATTCTCTTGGGTTCAAGCAATCCTCTTGCCTTAGCCTCTGAGTACCTGGGACTATAGGTGCCCACCAAGAGGCCTGGGAATTTTTTTTTCTATTTTCAGTAGAGACAAGGCTCTTGCTCTTGCTCAGGCTGGTCTCAAACTCTTGAGCTCAAGTAACCCACCTCGGCCTCCCAGAGTGCTGGGATTATAGGTATGAACCATCATGCCCGGCCTATACTGAAGTAATTCCAGCAAATATAATTTATGAATGGTTATCTTTTATCTGAGCTATGCTTTATCATTATCTTTTAAACATATTTCACAGTTCTTTACAAATGAAAGTTTACATTTTATTTATTTATTTTTTTGCAGTTTTTGGCCGGGGCTGGGTTTGAACTCGCCACCTCTGGCATATGGGGCTGGCGCCTTACTCCTTTGAGTCACAACGCCACCCGAAAGTTTACATTTTAGATCAGATTTTATTTATTTATTTATTTATTTAATTTTATTTTTTTTGCAGTTTTTGGCCAGGGCTGGGTTTGAATCCACTACCTCCGGCATATGGGGCCAGTGCCCTACTCCACTGAGCCACCAGTGCTGCCCTTAAATCAGATTTTAAATGATTTGTAATAAGAAATGTCAGGAAAGGCTTGGTGCCTGTAGCACAGTGGTTACATCACTGGCCATATACACCAAGGCTGGTGGGTTTGAGACTGCCCTGGGCCAGCTAAACAACAATGACAACTGCAACAAAAAACAACCAGGTGTTGTGGCAGACACCTGTAGTCCTACCTACTTGGGAGGCTGAGGCAAGAGAATCTCTTAAGCCCAAGAGTTTGAGGTTGCTGTGAGCTGTGACGCTACAGCACTCCACAGAGTGTGACATAGTGAGACTCTTAAAAAAAAAAACTGAACTGGATTGGATGAGATAGCTCATACCTATAATCCCAGCACTTTGGGAGCCTGAGGTGGGAGGATGGCTTGAGGCTTGGAGTTTAAGATCAGTCTGAACATCATAGCAAGACCCTGTCTCTACACAAAAACTCTTTTAATTACCTAAGTGTGGTGGCACATGCCTGTAATCCTAGCTACTTAGGAGGCTGAGGTAGAATGATGGCTTGAGCCCAGAAGTTCAAAGTTACAGTGAGATATAATGTACCATATCCTGGACAACAGAGCTGGTCAATGCACCATATCATGGACAACGGAGCTGGACCATGTCTCTTAACAAGAACAACAAAATTGAGCTGGGAATGATGGTGTATGCCTGTACTCCCAGCTGCGGAGGCTGTACTGTGCAGTGATTATGCGGGAGAATAGCCATTGTACTCCTACCAAGGCAAGATACTCAGACTTCTCTCTTAAAAACAAACAAACAAACAAATAAATCAAAAAAAAAAAACAATAAAGAAACACTTCTAGTATCATCAAGTTTTTATATTCTTTTTATTAGTGACTTACTTTTTTTCTTATTGCTTCAAGAATTATTTCATTATACTTGAAATGATCAACTTAATGAGAGTATGTCTGGATATTGATGGTTCTTTGTCAGTCTTTCCCAGTACTTAAGATATTCACATCATTTATTGTGATCTTTGTTGAGACCTACCTCCATATTATTAAATGATTATTGCTTAGTGTTTCTAATTTATGTGTTAGACT